GAAGAATGGAAAGAGATGATGTTGAAGAATGAATGCCCTCTGTGGCTTTAATCCCATAAAAATCTCACAGGCGCTGCTCAAGATGAAGTGACCTGGACAGAGAAAGATGATGCACTACCTTGTTCCCAAAGCATCTGCCATTATGTTTATCTTATCTTGCTCGTTTTTCCTTAGAATTTGATCTTAAGAAAGGTATGGAACACCAATTTACTCTAACTGAGTTCATGGAACAGCCACAGCACAGAAGGTGCCTTTGCTGCTTTCTGCGTAGAGTGAAAAAGTAATTTTCTCAGTTTAAAAGAAACAGCACAGTGCCCAGGTTCAATATTTCAAACCCCATGACTTGTCCCCAGTGCTAAAGACAATGACAGAAGAGGCAGAGGCAGTTAAGGATGGGCGTAGCAAGACGTAGCATCAGCTTACTACTATATTGGGACCATGCACTGCTAGAAGCTGCTAGACTTGCCTCTGTCATGCCCCTTACAGCACCGTGCTCAGTTGGCATCAGTTGGATTGTGCCTGGGCCCTCAGGACAACAGAAGGATGAGTCATTCTCAGGACCTCAAGTTCTGTGGATCTGAAAAAGGCTTAAAGCTCTCTTGTGCAAGTATCTTAGAAAATATATGTCTTTTTTGGCATGTGCAGTTAGGGAAGAGCAGGAGGAACATCTGCTGATACACAGAGGTAACGTCTTGTCTCTATGTGCGTATTAACCTGGGAGCTATTTTAAGTTTCACACAAATATATAGAGATACAAACCAACAGACAGCTATTTGTGGAATTCACAAATATATATGGAATTCAAGGCTCTCCAGAGGGCCTACACTGGCTGCAGGCTGAGTGTCAAGTCTTTGTTTGGCCTCATAGGCAAACAGGAGTAAAGGGAACAGGAATAACCCATATTACAAATCTAAAATGATTCGAGTAAAGGCCCAGAGAAGGACATCTCTAAGGCCATTCACTACAGCACAAATCTCGTTTCAGGCAACTCAAATCACACCTATTGCAACTTGACTTTCAGTGAAAGTAGTCAAATTTGTTTTAAATATTGTTTTGACAATTTAGTTTCAAATTCATCACAGTAATCTTAGTGGTAGAGTTAGAATGAAAATGATGTTATAATTAGTCTGCGTGAAGAAGAGAATGTGAGAAACAATACTCATGGCTGGAAAGGAGATGGAACGAGCCTCTGTGAAACAAAAACATGCCACTGTGTGTAGTAATTCCCAAGTCTTTTAAAGTTATGACAGAAGTTGACTGTGACTTTGTCGTTCAAACTGGCTAGTCCAATTAGCAGCAATTTCCCCTTGCCCTCTTTGGTTTGGCCTACATAGATTTGATCTGATGGATGGGGGATAAATGGGGCTAACTAGCTCTTTTGAAGATAGGCTCCATGTCAAAAATAGACCTGTAGTGTAAGTGCAGGGAATGCACAGGATATCCTACCTAGGACAGGATGAAGCATGAGTTCTGTCAAAGTGAAACTCCCTAGGCTTTTACTGAATTTTTAGCTACTTTGATTTCAGTGGCCTTTTTATGAAACGAACTTGTCTCTCACAGAGGCAGGGAGGAAAAGAGGCAAATATAATCAAGTATCATTATTTCTGTATGGGTTAAAAACTAGTGTACCAACACTGACTGAAAATCTTAGGTCTAAACTTCACTGATGATAAGCTACTGAGAGAACTAACATTTATGTTTTGCCAGGAATAGGCTGCCTACACAAACTCTTTTGTTTTGAAATCCGTTACATCCAAATTAGATTTGGTTTTTTGCATCCATTACTAAAAATATAACTTTGTATTCAAAGGCACTTTTGCATCTGCTTCTCCGCACTCCACTTTAAGATAAGGCCACAGAAACTTCCATTCTTAAGGCAGTAAAAGATTTTTCTTGAAAGAGAAGCCGAACCTCTAGTAGACTACCTTAAAAAGCACACATAGGTTTCTTGGCAAGTAAGTGGTCTACTAATTAGCTACCACCATGCAGACTAGCTGTATTCTGCTGCCTTTCACTGTAATGTTCAGTAGCAACATACAATACAATAGTAAGATCACTGTATTCTAAAGTGAATTACCATAAGCAACTGAAACTATAAATACTCATTTTGAAGAATAAACTGATTTTTGTTTTTGTTAGACACCATATACTTAAATCTCATTAAAATGTTAATAATCAGTACTCTATGCACCATCATAAAACAACTGCTCTAAAATTTGGTTAAATAATTATTTTGATTAAGTATCAAATGATTGCATACTATCTTTTTAAACAGACAATATTCTGGAGTCCTGAAGTATTTCTTCCATATGTAATATCTGCCTGTAAGTTCCCTTCATTTTACAGAGTTTACTGCTTGCTAAATTTAGGGTTCAGTCCTGTCCGTGACTTCATTAAAGTCTCTCAAACATCTTCCTTGTTGGGGTACAAGCTGGACACGAATTTATTGCTGTGGAGAGATACTGTGAATAATTATGCCTGTCCACGTACATAAGTTCTCAATATATACGTTATTTGCTAACAGTCCCCTTAAAGTAGTAAACAGCAGTTTTTCTATACTAGTACATCAGTTGGAGAATTTTTTTTTCGGTTAGATTACTAATACCACATTCTTATTAAGAAGGCTGTCAGCATGTTAGCATCATTTGTATTTTAGCAGTTAATGATCCAAGATAAAACGTGGGTCATAAAAATAGCCCTATATGAAATCATCATTTTTTCCTCAGGAGTACCTGGTAAGTCAAACAACACAGAGAAGGAATGGAGAGCACCCAATAAATACTAGGGAAGAACTAAAAGCAAATACTACGCAGAAAGAACAGAGGTCAGACAGAACTTGGTGGTGGGGCTGAGGGGGACATGTTATTTGAGGTTTAGTAAGCAATTAGTGATTATGGCCAATAGCCCAATAGCTGCAAAGTTTTTTGAAAAGTCCTAAGTTGTTTAATAAAAACTGTACATTAAGTATGTAAAACTTTGTTAAATTGGAAAATTCTAGTCTTTCCTGTGCATGTAATACAAATATGCTACATTATGTTTTTGTGGATGTGCTGCAATACTTGGAGAACAGCTTCCAAAACCGTTTTTTATTGCTCTGAATGGCACCATTTTAAATCTAGCTTTCTAAAAGCTGGTGCATAAGTCTATAATACATACTCCCTTGTTTCGTAGATTAATCTTTCTATGGAGATAAAATTGTGTTAGTTTCTTCTTTTTGGTAAATGAGTAAATAATGCAGATAATATGAAAAAGTAATTTAGTGTGAAATAAAGCTGTGGAATTGTTGAAACAGAAGGAGAAGGAACCATGTTTATATAATACAATATTAATTTGAAGCATTTTTTTCTCGATAGAAATGTGGAAAATCGCAGTGGCACAGATTTGACTTCACTGTTAAGGCTTTTTCTCAGACTTAGTTTAAAAAGCAGCAAGGCCAAGTCTACATGTCTGAAGTATGTATGCAAGTCCTAGAAAGACAACCTTTTCCTCCATTTTGTGTTTTGAACTATGGAACTGTGCTTCGCAAATTACAACAACAGTGAAATATGGAGCTGCCCTTTTCTACCATTTTGCAGAGGCAAGAATCCATTTAAGGATGGAATGTATATCCGTGCAGCAGGGTGTATGTGTGTGTACGTTTGTGGTTTTACCAGATTTGGATTTGCTTGAAAAATAATTCATTAAGTTTTCAGAGGCAGTGACTGCTCACAGAGTGCTACTCAAAAAACAAGTATTCCCTCAAAAAAAACATGACAGCTGTTGAATTATCCTCTTACAGCAAGTGGCCTGTGTGTTCAAGGTTTCCTTAAGATTTGCTTTGGCCAGACAGTTAAGGAGGCAAGTTTTAACACCTAACACCCACCCAGGCATTAAAAATGTATTAATGCAACTATTTTTAGATCCTATAAATATATATACCTTAAAACAAATGCGTCCTCTTATCAGTCCGTAAGGAACAGGTCCATAGCACCTGGAATCTGTAGAATTCCTGAGATTATCACCTTCTAACCAAACATGTCCTTTGGGCACCTATGATTGAAATGTAAAAAGAAAATAGACTAGAAAGGTATCAAGCATAGTTTGCCTTATATTTTCCGATTTCTGCATTCTGTATTTCATGACTGTATAATGAACTCATTTTTTTCTTGAATCTAGTAAGACACAGTGCCAGATTTGGAGGGATGAGGAGCGCTCCAAAGTATCTGTTCTATCGTGTGCTCAAAAACCAATGATTTGCAACAAAAAATCCAAAATGAAGATGTAAGAGGTTAGGCTAATGTGACAGGGTCATTAATTTAATAGACTTCAAAAGAGGTCATTAGGATGTTGACTGAAAATCTGCCCTCCTGTCGCAGTAACAGCATGAACAGGGCAGCCACACACTCATCAACATCCTGGGGCCAGCACCAAGGCTAGACCTGTTAGTAGACTCATGATGAACTAACTGGTAATTGATTGTGACATCAATTACGAATAATCTCATCATTTTATCGGAGTAGGCTTGTCAAAGTTCTAATTAAGATCACAGTTCATTCTATGTGCAGGCAGAATCCACAACACATTATATTGCAATAATGATGATCACGAAACAGCAAATCCCTTTTTATAATTTGAAAATTAACGATGGTGACCTTATACTATATGACAAAGACCTTTCATTGCCTATATATATTATGCATTAACTATATTACATACCATAGATTCATGGCATTTTCTGACTGACCTAATGACAAAATAAGAAATAGCAACATAGCTGTATTAGTTACCCAAATAAGGGTATAAAGCTTTCATAGATGAAAAAGTCGCTACTATAAGTCTTAAACTAAGATTTCCGCTTGGAATATACAACACTATTTTGATATGGTTTTTAAAAAAACATTTCAGATATAAATAACCTGTTACAAGTTACCAAATAAAATACTTAATAATTATTTTTCTAATACATTTTTGATTCTAAAATTCTAAACCAGACTGAAAATTTAAAAGTATCAACATATTCTCAATCTAGATAATATTTAATGTAGACTTTTAATACACATTTTTCCAAAACCAAGTATGTACTTGAAACATTACTATGCCCATAATTCAGAGAAAAGAAAAAAAACCACAAAAATTCAAATGAAACTCAGAGTTTGAGCAGTGTAAACATTAATGTTTTAGAAATAAGCCACATGAACTCATAAATACAATAGTCTACACATACAGAATTCAAGGATAACAGACTAAACAAAATAAAATACCACTTTAGTAGTAAAGTCTGGATGTAAACCATTAAGAATAAAACCAGGTCCCTCAGATAAACATTTGAGGAAAATGCAATTGACAGGTAATTGTTGGTACTTAGAGGTATCTGGCCAGGTAACACTTATTGAGCCTTGCCTTTAAATAAGCTTTTGAGGCTCTTGCTTAGTCATGCTCCTGCCTGCCTGGTATCACCCTAGGATCTGAGGATAGCCCCAGGAGTCCCTTCGTTAAGCTGTGGCAGACCTATAAGCCACAGATTAAGAACAAATACTTTGTCTCTCACAGTAGCAAAAAGAAATACTCATCGTGGAAAGCATATGTGAGCATGTCCATCTTCTCCCAGCCCCCACCCTGTATTTCTCTGGTATCCAGGAGAGGTGCTTCAGGCATGTCAGAGGACACATGTCCCTGCTGCAGCATTTTAGAATCTGTATGTGGAGCTGTAGACCAGCAATATGTCTAAATCCTTTTGAAACCTACTGTCTCCTTCCACAGTCTCCTGTATAAAGGAGTGCTTCCTTGGTTGTTTGAAACTGATCTGCTAGTTCTATCA